GAATGCTCCTCAGGAGAGTCCAGGAGAAGCCCAACATCTAGCAAGGTTCTGTTCTGCAGCAACATCTTCATAAGAACATTCCTGCTAGGGGAACATCAGAGAAACCCGCCTCCCCTGCTACATATTATCTGAACTATGTCATTTAACATTTAATCCTTATGACAGCAACATATGATATATTATTTTAATCGTAATTTTATGATTGTATAAAGAGGCTCTGAGAGGTAAAATGAGATAGCTCAAATAATAATAATTGCTAACATTTGCTGAGTGTCTACTATGCGCCAGGCACTATTCTAAGCATTTTCCATGTATTAATTCATCTCATCTTCCCCCAAACCCTCATGAGGACAGCACTATTACAATTCTCATTTTACAAAGACAGATGCTGAGGCACAGAAAGTCACATGGCCTCAAAGTTGCCCAAAGGAGTCTTCAGTGTCTTTATCACAGAAGTCACTAATCTACTAACGTCTATCATGACATGCAAGAAGAACAGGGGGCTGGCCATTTAGCTCACTCAGTAGAGCATGCTGCTGATAACACCAAGGTCAAGAGTTCAGATCCCCAAGCCTGCCGGCTGACAAAAAAAAGAAAGAAAGGGTAGCATGCAATGTTTCCCAAATGCACTTGGCCAAGACAGCCATTTTCCTGGAGACACATGCAGGGATGAGGATGAAGTGAAACCACTGGGGACAGATGCACGGCCACAGGCAGAACAGCCTTCCTTCTGCTGGCAGATGGTCAGATGCAACAGAGAAGTTCTGTACTCAGTAAACATCAATGCTGCCCTATAGCTCGCTCAGGATCCATCTCCACAGCTCCAGTCATCACAGCTTTTAGCACATCCACAGGCCATGTTTCCATCAGGAGACGTCAGCCTTAATGATGCAGACTCACTCCCCAACTCGTCCCTAACTGGTGAGATTCTCAATTAGGAGGAGTTGGTGTGTTAAAAAGCAAACTGCCCCCATGGACTCTCTTCCTCTCTGGTGCCCAAAGGATGGAAAGTAATTCTAAAGACCCAACAAAGCCTCACAAGAGAGGTTCCTGGGTCTAGACCCACAAGGCAGCACATCAGGGAGTGTGGCTCTGGCCCAGCTAGAGTTTCCAATCGACTGTCAGTAATGAAAATGTTATTTTCATCACTATTTGTCTGATTCCTCATCTACTTCTTATATAGAACATGAAGGGGAGAGAGAAGAGCCACGATTAACCATGATCTTTAAGGTGAAACAAGGTCATCATTTGCTGACCACTTGTTATGTGATAAGCACATAATATATAAGTATCTCATGTGATAGCTGCCCTCTCTCAACACTAACTAATATCCAACAGAACCAGTGCTCCTGAGAATGAACCACAAGCTGGAAAAAGGAAAAGGGCCATGTAAAGAGCCAGAGTTCACTCTCCATGTGAAGGTTTACCCAGGCCTAGAGAGCCCTCCCTCTCCAAGTGATGGACACGTCACTGTCAGGCCTGATGCCACTGAACATCTTAACACCCAACTCATTCCTCCTTTTCTGACCCACCAAGGAAACAACAGGTGAGACCCCTCCTTTCTCAAGCTGATTAGCCCAGAGGCAGGATAGGCCTGAACACCAGGTGTGGGCCTTCTGGTCTACCCAACAGCTCTATGTTAGAAGAGCACAGAGACAACCTGCTCGAGGACGAGAGAAATCCACAAACATCAGTGGAGGCACAAGCTTATGGCAAGTCTTCCGACCTTACCAAGGGAAAATAGCACTTCCCCAACCTCATTCTGGACCACATTAGGAAAGAAATCTTTCAATTAGATAATGAAGCCACCCAAAATTCTACTCCATATTTTGCTGGTTAAGTCATGATTTTCTTGGAAGGACTAGATCAGTCTTAAAAAAAAAAAAAAAAGAGGGTGAGAATCTGAAATTTGATATCTATAAAATTATAGATTTTTAACAATCTATTCTAAAAGTTCACTTTAAGTATTTTTTTTTTTTAAAACATGCTGGAGGTATTTTTCCACAATAAAAATGTAATAACAAAGGTAAAGATTTCAGAATAGCCCTCAGGAATCTATTCAACCCTGAAGGCATTTGGGGCTTATACAATTTTCCACTCTTTTTCCTACTGATGGGCTCAATTTCATAAACAATTTCTTGCCAAAAGATAAAAAGAATCTTCATATCCTCAAACTCAAAGGCTTTTATTGTGGAAAATGTGTCCTAAATTCCCACCTAGAATTTGGGAAGCTAGAAGTCATCTCCATCCCCCAACACCAGAAGCCAAGGAAATCAGGGATCAAGAAAGGACTCTCTCCCTCTCCAGCCTCTCCCTGTCCCAGAGCCTCCAAATCCCAGAGACCCCACAGCCTGGCCAGTCATACTCAATGGCTTTCAACAAACTGAGGCAGCAACTAGTTGGGGTTGAGGAATGAGTCAATTTCTTTAAGTAACAGATGACACATCACTTGAAATTAGATCAAAGTTCTTGAAAGGAGGCCAAAGTGCAATTTTTGAAAGAGTTGCCTTTTAATAAGGCTTTTCATGGTGCCTGGAAGATAGCTGTGCTCACTTATATTTGTGAAGAGAAGTGAATTGCAGGACTTATATAATAAAAACAGAGCATCCGGTACACTTGAGGGTTTTCATAAAAACCTTCCACTGAAAAAGGACTCACAGATAAGATGCCATGGTCTTAAATCACACAGTACAGAAGAGTATAAGGGACTGCAGCTATGTGGAGCAGTGGAACATGCTTAATTATCTCTGCTCCGATCCATTTAAGGGTGATTACATGACATCCTGAAAAAGCTCACATCCAGCTATGGTTCAGAGCATTCAGGCTGGATCTTGTGATATGGAACTTCAGCTGCCCTAAGAGACCATTCTGTACATTATAGGTTGTGTGTGCCCATTTGGGAAGAATCACACCCAAAATTCTCCTACTCTGAATTGCATTTTATAGTTTAAAGTTTTCAAATCAAAAGCGAGCCCAGTGGTGTTTCCCCCCACCCCTCAGGTTTAATTTTATTGCACCAAAACAAAGTTCTATGTAAAGTGTAGATTTCTCAAAAGGTGGCAGCGTAGTCCACAGGTCACCTGCATTAGAGTCACATATCTAGAGGTGCAAATCTAGGGCCCCATCCTAGACCCACTGAAACAACTCCCAGAGGCATGGTCCTGGGAAGAGGCATATTTAATAGGTTCTCCAGGTAATGCCTGTGCACACTAAAGTTTAAAAACTCTATAAGGCAAAGAACAAAGGATTTGGAAGAAAATGGTCTGAGTTCATTTCCATCCCAGATACATGTCCCAACCTGTTAAAATCTCCTGAGCCTCCAATAACAAGCTTTTTAAAATAAAGGAAAAATACACACTTATCACAAGGTTACTGAGTCAAATGAGAGTACACTTGAATCTGCTAGAAAAGAGTAAAGGGCTAGACACACACTATTCATTCAAAACTAAAAAAGCCAGTTTCTAGGGAAACAGTGATGAGAGGTGAAAAGTCGGTAGACCAGGATAAACATAACTCCACGTAACGAAATGAATTCAGGGCCATAACAGCAATATCTGTAAGAAAAGGGCAATGAGCCCACAGAGAAAGATGTGATTAATTCTGCACTGATAACCCCCAGACTGATAAGGTTTACAGACCAAATATGAATGAAGCAAGGCATATTATCAAAAAAACATCACCAGCGGGGCCGGCCCGGTGGCGCACTGGAGAGTGTGCCGCTTGGGAGCGCGGCGGCGCTCCCGCCGAGGGTTCGGATCCCATGTGGAGACCGGTTCCCGCTCACTGGCTGAGTGCGGTGCGGGCGCAACACCGAGGGTTGCGATCCCGTTGCCGGTCCCCGGTACAGGCGCGACACCGAGGGTTGCGATCCCGTTACCGGTCAGTAAAAAAGACAAAAAGGAAAAAAAAAAAAAACATCACCAGCATGCTGATCCTGGTCAAAGACCATGAGAAATACACAGGCTTCAAAGAAAATTCATATCTTTATAATACCACTGTGTAAGCCATAGCCAGATTCCAATACTGTCTCCATCACATAGAAAAATAACAACCATTTATTGTATGACAGGTACCATACTGGAAACCTTGTGTTCATTGTTTTGGTAAATCCTCACAGTGACCTCATGACGCTGGTATGATGCTTCCTCGTACAGATGGGAAAATAATTCCAAAAATTCAAAAGATAGTAGGTGAGCTGAATTCAAACGCAGGTCTGGCTGACTCCCCAGACCTATGAGTGTGGAGCATCTGCCCTCTTTAAAATGTCCACACTCCAAAAGTTCATCTTTCTGTAAGAAAATGTCATTACGCTCAGTTGGCTGGAGGTTACAAGACATGTTGCCCAAGCTAAAAATGCCTTCTTTAGGCTGACCTGAGCAACATTTTAGGAGATTCATGACAGGTAGCCAACGTACAGAGAGGAGAAACATATGGCACCACCTCAGTGAGGTCTTCACCAAGTAATCATTTTTCAGTTTACTTGTACTTCTGATTAATAATGACAATAACAATAGCTAAAATTTATGCAGTATTAACTCTATAGTAGGCATTATGCTACAATGTCTACATGGATTGCATCATGAGGCGGGTGCTGTCAACTAACCCCTGAGCTATGGAGAGATTAAGAAACTTACCCAGAGCTGGAGTTGGAACCTGGTCAGAGTCTGGAGCTCTGATTCTTCACCATTTTGGCATTCTGTGGCTTACACCCCTGGCCTCATGTGACTTATGCCACAAGGTTCACTACCTTGCAAGTATCTCAAGACTCTAAACATAAAATTCCCTAAGTATACAAATTGATATGACTATTGCTAATGACAGTCTAGCAAGTGAATCTTACAATACCAGTCATACGTTCAGCAAGAACACAAAGCAGGGTTTCCCATCTGATTAGTTTTCTCGAGCCCTGACCAGGACCATTTTTCTAATTCATCCACATATGTACTTATCATGTTGAGTAAAGCTCAGCCCCTCCCCACCCGGGCTCAGTCTCCCCTCACCTTCCGATGTTTGACCTTCTCTTTTCAGCATCTGGACAGCTCCTACATATTTCTTCAGCTGGACTTTGAGCACCTCGTTTTCTCTGCAAGTATAAGAATGTTAAAAAATATATTTTAAAATTAGCAATTTAGACCCAAGGCAAGGGGTGGGGGGATATAGGTAAAGAGAAGCACACAATTTGTATCATAGAACTATTAATATATTGTTTCAGAGATCATCACTGGAAACAGCTGTTACCAAGGGCACGTTTGTTAGAACACTTTCAAGAACTGTTCTTTCATGATGGAGATATAACACTGGTTTCAGTGTCCACAAACTAAGAATGCTGATACATGCTGTGTCTAGTCAGTGTCAGGCACTCTAATATTCTCTCCACTTACAGAAGCACACACTAAATACTGTGTATTCACCCTGGGAAATACTCTTAATTTTATTAAGTGCTACATGTATTAAACACTTACTGTTTGCTAGGCATGATGTCAAGTGTTTATATATCACCTCACTGAATCTTTCCAAGGCACTAACACATTTGCTAGGCATGATGTCAAGTGTTTATGTATCACCACATTGAATCTTTCCAAGGCACATAACCCCCACCTTATAAATGACGAAACTGAGGCATAAAGAAGAGAAGCAGTTAATCAAGTCCACATCTACCTCCACATAAAACAGTACAATGGAACAGAGAACCCAAGCCATGACAAGCCCCACCTGAATTCACTCCCCAGGTACAGTGGCTGAGGCTGGAACATGAGGACCGGCATGGGGGGAGCTGCCATCTGTTGGGTATTTACCACATAGCTTAGACCTCACACATGTCACCTCATTGAATCAAACATGCATGCCTGCATCCATTCATCCATTTCTGCATTCAGTGGAAAATGCACGATGACCCCGCAGCATTCTCCCCATTCCAAAGGAGAGGAGTTGCACAGATAAGGTCTCTGACCAAGATCACATGGCCAAGATAACCAGTATGATACACTTTCAAGATGTAAACCCACGTCTCTCTGCCCCCAAGGTCCCCAAGAGCCTTTCTCTGTCTCCTTTGAGATCCAAACTTGGTTTCTCACCAGTCACACCAGAGAGAGGTGGTTCTTCCACATTGTCTGTTTTTGCCCACTTTCCCCCATCCCAGGTCTCCAGCCTGAGTGCCTTTACACATGCTAGAATATTTTTTTCTTTCCTCACAATAAAAAGAGCTGAAGATTGGGTTTCTTCTATGATTATAAAAATAAAAATGCTTATCGCAAAATAAGCAGAACACATTTAGACAGAATGTAAAAATTGGCTTAAAACCCAACACTTTTAAATAAACTCCATTAACATTTTTTATATCCATCCTATGATACTTCTCTCTAGGTGCGCATACATACCCTAAATTTTAAATGGATGAAACATCTTCCATGCTCCTTTGTTTTATTTCATTGAGGTTTTTTCCGTTTTCTGCTCCACTACCCTTTCCCCTTGGCAAACAGTGGTAAAAGCATGGCACAAACATTTCATGCCCCTCTGCTTGCTCAGGTGATCACTACAAACCCAATCTACTTACACAGAGTTCACTTTATAAAACAGCATCATACTATAAATTTTTCTGCTACTGGGTTGTCTCATGTAAAAACTCACCACAGTAAGCCTGACTCTGTCTACTGACAGATGGAAATAGCATTTATTAGTACAGATATTCCACACATCTACTTAGCTGAAAAACTTGGACTGCTCATCACTAGTTCTGTATGTCTGTTTTCAATGCATCTGACTATATCAGCCCTCAAAGAGAGCACTTTCTTTGTATTTTGCTTCTCTACACTGTATTTTGGGCAGGAAAAAAAACATCGGGATCCAAGGGAGAAACTCCCATTTACTTTGGTATGACCTAGAACTCCACATTTATTTCAGAAGCTTTAAAGAAGGCAATACACAAAGGAATCCCTTAATTATCCCCCTAGTTCTAGACAGCCTGTCTTGAATGTTTCTGTAGGTATCTGCACTTTCTCCATCTGTGATACAAATAGCAGATGTTGAAACTAAACAACTAACAAGCCCTGAAAAGGTTTGTGGGAGGGAAATGAATTGTACAGACTGTTTTCTTGGATTCCTTTAGCCAGAGGCTTATCACTCATCCCAGATCTCCACATGTGAATTCAAGTCACATATTACCTTAAATCTAAGGAAAGAAAGCCATCCATATGCATTTCTATATGGCATAACTTTAACAACAGTTCTTGGACATTTTCCAAGAAGCCCAATAGGCAGGCTCCACTCAGGCCGACTGGCAGGTGAGTCTTGTTAACGTTTGGCTGCCGGGTGTCATCTCACCTGCTCCCAATAGACAGGCCACCTCGGCTTTCTTATGTGTCTTCCATGCTGTGACCAGTGCTAAAATGTTTCAGGTGGCTACTTTTCCTCTGGTTTGAATCAATCTTTTAATGGTGTGTTAAGACTCCATCTAAAAATCACACCTAACACAACAAAACCAAGATTTTTAATATAAATCTGACTTCCATCAAAATGATAAGAAGTCATGGGGAATATATCAAACCACCAGATGAACACCTTCAGAAGCCAAAAATTCACCCCAGCCATCTTTGTACCAAGGAACTTGTTTGCCTTTTATGGGAAATTAATACTTCCAGGTCTCTGGGATAGCTGAAGTATCTTCTGAATAAAATTCAAACACCTGGCTGGTGCACTGACCACTCCAAGAGGCAACTGTTAGCTCCTGACCCCCCGAGACAACCAAGCCCTTCTTGTTTCTTAATTTTTTTAAAATAATTGTAGATTCACAGGAAGTTACAAAGATAATATTGAGAGTTCCTATATACCCTTAGCCCACTTGCCCCCAATGGTTACATCTCATCTAAGTATAGGGCAATATCGCAACCAGAAACGGATATGGGCACAACGTGTGTATAATTCTATCAATCCCATTATTGTAACTGATGCTCATAACAATCTTTCGCCACAGTGTGCCTCTTAAGATGAAATACAGACTTAAATGACCACAGCTGTCAGACAGGCTATGCCAAGGAGTACAACAAACCACCTAGAAAACAAGGTGGGGAAGGGGACGTGGGGCTGTGGCAGAATAGAGAGTTTTTGCCCCGCCCCCCTCCCAAAGGTTTTTTGTTTGTTTGATTTTTTAACTTAGCATGTTAAAGTCCCAAGAAAATAACTCCCAGACTTCGGACAACTAATTTGCAACCCGCTAACATGACTTTAATTTGTAGACAGAGAAACCATATAGAATTTAGCATTCTTTCATTACACAGATCTCTCTTATGATTGTCAAGTAAAAATGCCTTTTATTTGACAGCTCATTAGACAATGGAATTGGTCAGTTAATTAAATGCATGCTGACTATGAAAGGCCTCAGAAATCCTCTAAGTGCATATGAAAGAGAGAGGGATAATGGCTGAAGGCCACCCCAATAGAGACAGTCCTTCAGCTGCAGGACAAGTCACATCACCAGTAGCGTGTGAGCCTAAGGAGGTGGGAGGCAAGGTGAGCGGACGAGACCAAAACCTGACCTTAGGCTCTAGGTGTGTCAGCACCCACCTTGCACCCAGGCAGTCAGCCTTCTAAGTCTGGGTGTGCAACCTTTTCACTATACATCACCAGGGCAGAGGACAAGTGTGAGTGCCCAGAAGGCAACACGCAGAGGCGGTATTAACCAGACTCATCACTGTGTGGTCAAGTCACAGGGCTTTTACCTTTAACTTTTTTTTGGTTGTTCAGCTATGTTCTCTAATTTTCTATAACAAAGTAATATTTGAAAACAAAAACACTTTCATTGCCTAGTCTTTTAAAGTTGTTTAACTTGAGGAAAATGTGGAGAGGGATGATGAGGCAGCCATGGAGCAGGGCCTCCTTCGTCTCCCTACCCCATCTACACTGGTGGAATGTGACCGCGTGAACCCATGAGGATGAGACAGCTGAACCAGGTGGTGCCCAGTCACTTGTATCTTAGAGCAACTCTGTCTTCTCCACCTCATGGAACTTATCTCTTCCTTAGCTCTAGGGTCTACACAGCTCAGCTGAACCTCACCCTACCATCCCTGGCTCTTTTTGCAACAAACAGATTTAATCAAATCTTACCACTCTATCTGGAAAACCGTCTAGAAAAGTCAGGGGTGGGGGTGCTGTTGTTGCAAAGAACTGTTAATGCTCAGACCTTCCAATGAAATGAGCCATTCATATGCCTTGAGGGTCTGACCAGCTGCCCTGCCTCCACCCCAGTGTTGGCAGCTGGTGTAGCTGGGGCACCTCCTGCCCTCTGTGACCAGCCCATGACCCATCTGTCAACAGCTGGGTTCTTTCCAAGGATTCAGTCTTTCAGCTGCAATTCACACATCTGCCTCAAACAAGGAGGTGTAGTTTTGGGGTGCCCTTGGCTATTACTCTACAATAGCAACAATAAGCAAACCCAGGACAAGAAGGAGCAGGTGTAGGAGTTCAGTCGGGCAGATTCTGTCTTTCACAGTCTAAGCAAAGGCAGTGGAATCCAACCCTGCTAAGATCAGCTCGTAGAAACTCCCTCTCCCTACTGCCTCCTTAAAACTTGTCCAGTTCTTCCCACTGTGTGGGGTGTTTGAGTCCAAATTCCTCGGTGTTCAATGAAAGGGGGGAAAATACAAAGAGAATGAACTAAACCAAAATCTCCCAAATGTGATATGTTCCCAAGATCATTTGAGAGGCTCAAACTTTTTTTATTTTAATACTTGGGCATTTCTTCTAATTTTTTTTTTATAACTAGTTTTACATTTATTCCAGTGATATAAAAAACCCTTTCCTTTAAAATAAGCTAGTTTTATTGGAAGTTTTACTAGAAGTTCTTCCAAAAGTGAGTGGATTTTAACAAAAAAAATTAAGTAAATATAAGGGGTCTTCAAAAAGTTCATGGAAAGATTTGGATTATCTTTTAATTCTACTTTTCCATGAACTTTTTGAAGTACCCTTGTAATACTACAGGTGGTACACAGGCATGACAGGATCGTGACGGTGGTACACAAGTAACCGAGATTGAAGGAAGAGAATCTTTGCTTTAAGTATAAGGAAAAGATTTTATATATATATATATTT